GGGGGGGGGGGGGGGGGGGGGGGGAAGAGGAGTAGTAGGTATTAAGTTCGTTTTTTTCTCTCTTTCTTCACGTATTAGCCTCGATACGCTTGTTGGAAATGAAAATATGCATGATGATCCCTTTTTCTTCTTCTCTAAAATACAGCTAAACCACAATAAACTCCGTCTCGAGTCCTGCCATTTCAAATTCCTTTCAATCACACCATTAAACCATCTTGTCCCTCCAATACTCAAACATCCCTCCACACCTCACCAGGACTATTGACCCGGTCACCATACCCCAAGTCCCTATATTCCCTCGTAGGACCACCCCGCTCACTCCCTTCCGCAAGCATCTTCACCTCCCTTCTCTCCTCCACAAAAGTCGCTGGCCTTCCGTTTTCATCTATACCCCTCCATGTCCTCGTCACCACCGTCACATCCCCCGAGCCCATACTACTACAGTCTGTGTGGTCTTCCTCTCTAGAATGAGAACGCGGCGGAGACGCGACTGAGCGTCCATCATTAAGTGCTTTTGCGCGTGAGACATGGCGGTACAGAGGCGGTCGTGGTGGTGATGGTGATTGGGCACGATTAGAGTGCTGCAGCGGATGAGATGAGCGTCGGATAGGTAGAGGAGAAACATGGCGAACGCGAATCTCCTCGTACTCTCTGCTTCGTCTCGGGGAATGAGAAGGTGAAGGTGAGATACGACGCTGCTTATCCACTCGGGTTTCTTCTTCATAATCTCTTTCATGCATCGGAGAGCAGTACCTTGTGCGAACTTTTTTAAAGTCTTGGTTTGGGCGTGGCCTAGGTCGGGCTTCATACTGCAGGCGCTCGCGAGAATGGTCTTGGTAATACCCAGACTTCTTTTTGCCGGACCCATCTTCATCATCGTATCTTGATCTTCTGCTCGGTTCCTGATCTGACAGTTCCTCTCTTCGCTCGCCCCTGAACCGGACACGAGGTCGGAGGACCTCGACGTGCACGCTTTGCTCGCTTGCGCGCATACTGGCTCTCCGTTGGGACGTTATGTCGTGATGGTCAGAGCTGTCTGGTTTCAAGATGCTACAGGTTGGTGATTCTAGACGTTGATGAGGTATTGACTCGGCATTACTACAAGTCTCGTCCGACGCGCGGAAAGAGGTACGTTGGCGATCTGAAATGACTGTTCGAAATGGCAGGGGGTGCGATATGAGACGGGATTCTGCTTCTTCACTTCGCTTTTCTCCACGAGATCTGACGCGAGAAGGTGATGTACTTGCACTTTTACGTCGGTGTTCTTGCGAATCGCTACGATAAACAACCCTGATTGATCTTGGCCGGGAAGGCGGAGGAGGAGGAGAGGGACTGAGTTCGATGATCCTAGAACTTTGTCGGCGTAGCGATTTTCTCTCCACGTCTCTATACGAATGGGTCCGAACAATGTCTGGAGGAGGCCATGCTTCGTCAGATTTCGCTGCATAGCTTATGGATGGCCCAAATGGTACAGAGCACGCCTCATGAGCCCGCTTTGGCTCCATGCGTACAATGTCAGGTGGGGGCCACACCCCGCTAGTGTACCTTGTAGAATAGCAAGGACTAGATGAGGACCTCCGAGCTGCTTGTTCCTTTCTTGATGCCTGTTGGAATGCTCCTAAACCCAGATGTGCTAGGCTGGATTCGCGCTTCACTACACGGGGTCGACTTGGAGAGTACCTGTTCACATAAACCTCCTCTCTACTTCTTCGCCTACCTCTAGACTCATCTTGTCCAGCATCGACTCGGAATGGCTCCCTAGGCCAATCGCAGGGCTCATCGGCTGTGCACTTCTGGATACGAGTATAGCGGCTGCTCGACCGATATAAGTTGTCAAGCTTCTTCTTGCACCTGCGGCACGGCGTAGAAACCAAAGGTTTGCCAGGGACGACTGGGTTATTTCGGTGGAAGCCTGCCGAGCGCACCTGACCGCAGTGACTGCAGGTATGACAGAGCATAACTGGCACGACCACTTCTTCTACCAGCGGTGCTTTGGCTGTCTGAGCCGAGTCACAATTATGATAATGATACTCTTCCCTCCTGTGTCTCGAACTTGATCGTACCATCTCTTGAGTGTGGCTGCGAGATAATGGAATGACGGCACCTGCGATTGGACCATCGCGACGGCTGGCCATTCCGCTATCTGGATGGTTGTATGGCCACCCACTATGACTCAATGGGGGCGGAGGCTGTGCGCTATTGTTTTCAGACCTTTGGGTGTGTCCTTGAAATGCGCTTCCCGTTGGCGTCGATTGCAGTCCTTGCTGTTGCTGTGCTTGAGGATCACCTAGTGGTGGCGGACGCTGCGGAATACCGTTTGGACCGTAGATCCCCAGCCCATAGCTCTGTTGAGGATATCCGCCTTGGTACCCGAGAAACGAAGCAACAGAAGACGAGGCTGCCGGAGGTGGTGTTGGTGCTGCAGGGGACACTCCGAACCCAGGAAATTGCTAATTGTATGAGCAGTGATACTGTGTGATACTAGACTACAAAGTCCACGACAACAACTTCTACGGTCACTTGTTAGTAAATCTTCAATACCAAAATATAGAGGTCCATTTACACTTGATGAAGATACGGATTGCCCAGCCGAGCAACTGACCCAGGATACTGAGCAAGAGGCTGGCTTGGACTCCGAACTTGCCCGTTGTCACTATTCGCGCGGCCCATGTACGACTCGAAAGCTCTTCTCTGTTCTTCGTTCGCCATCTGATGCTTTGTGGTAGGTGCACCCGTGCAGGTTGAGGAGTAAAGACAGATCGTTGAGCAGTTGCAGCCTATGCAAGTCAAGTGTGCGCGGCACGGAAAGTGCGATGGAGCAAAGCAAAGCAAAGCAAAGCAGAAATAGAACCAGGCAGAAACTTTAGGGTGAGTGGTGAGAGTAAATGAAAGTGTGTATGACCCAATCAAATCTGATCTGCGCAGTAGGGGGAAATGAGGAGTGAAGGAGAATGCGGTGAAGACCGCGTTCATAGTACAAAACGTGTACATCAATTGAGAGCCTACTCCAACTGACACAATGCATCTGGTTATTTCAAAACTGATGGCTAGTGTTTTTTTATTCCTGCCAAACGCCCGCCCTGCGAATCGTGCCAGAAGTGTCTTATGTTATACAGTAACTAAGTTTCTATCAAAGTTCTTACATTTTTTGGACTACCTACTCCACTCTCAGTACCCTGGGACCCTTCCTCTTTGTAGAGCGCTTCTTCTTGTGGCCCTTGTCAAAGGAAACTGCGCTTTGGTGGTCACGACCAAAGTTATCAAGATCCTTGACCTTGTAAATTCTGATGATCCAGTTCTCACTGGTAAAGGCCTCCTCAATGGTGCTGAGCTCCGGACCTTGGGCAGGCAGACGCGCGTTACGGACGCGGTCCTGTGCTTGACCCGCAGGGAACAGCGCATTGTAGTTGTAGTATGACATCTTGTACCTGGGGGAGCCGTCAGTATGTGAGATTCAAAATCATGAGCCAGGCAACTTACATCAAGCTGTTCTTCATGGCTGGCGTAGCTTGTTCGTCAACACGGTATTCACCTCGCGATGTGAAGAAGCTGCGCTCCTTGACTTCCTCGGGCCAAATACCCTCGGCAATCCTGACCATCCACAAGAACTTGTTAATGTCATCTCCGGAGTAGCCAAGAAGACCACCAAAGACCACTAAGACATAGTCGACTTCATGCTGGCGCATAATCGGGTAGCTGACCTCCTCGCTAGAGCTCATGGCCTTACCAACGGTAGCAATGTGTGTGTTGTTCCACGTGTTGTTGTCCACGAGCGTGGGGCGGTCAGCCATGCCACCAATCTGGTAACCATAATCCCACCACGCCATAACCTTTGCATCTTGGGGAGTGTTTTGCCTGAGCCAGTAGTACGCCTCACGGTAATCATCAATAATGTGTTGATGGCCATCGGGCGTACGGGACGCGAGCACGACTGAGGGCGACGAGTACGCATTTGAGGTGACCCATGTGCAGTGAAGAACAAAAAGCACAAGGTAGACGGCGGAGGAACCGACAACAGTGAGCTTGGAGGCATATGAGTAAATACCAACCAAGGGGCCGCGGGTCGATCGGAGGCCGTCTGGGAGCACTGCTGCCGCTGCAACTGAGGCCGCGTCGGCACTCTCCTTCTCGGTCTTGGGCTTAGGCGTCTTGGCGTCCAGGAAGGTGTCAAGGATTTGGGAAAAGGCAATGGCAGATGCAACACAAACAATGGGAGTCAGAGTAAGCATGAGACGGACCATGACACCAGCAAAGTAACTGGCCAGGACAGCGTAAATGACAATGAAGACTTGCTCATCGGTCAAAGTGCGGAAGCACAGGTAGACACCAGCAGGGAAGAGCCAGATCATCATGTTGAGATCAAAGAAGAATGCGGGCCAAGCGGTAGGCTGGTGTTCGGAGACGGACGCGATAATGGGAATGTGAATCTTGGCGTATCCAGTGTCCCAGAGCGAGTAGAAACGGCCAGTCCAGGGCGCGATGACGCCTGAGACAGTCAAAAGCACCAGACCTCCGACGCCGATGACGAAGACACCCAGAACCAGTGCGCGAAGAAGCGTCTGGAACTGCTTTCCCGGAAGCTGTGCGCGGACCCAGTCGACGAATGCAACAAGCTGGAGGAGACCAAAGACACCAAGAGCCGACATATGCTCGCTACTGCGGATGGGCAGGAAACCGACAAAGGGAATCTGCATACTCGCAAGCGTGCCCAGGGCGTACCACGAAGTGTAGCTGACATACAGTCTCGGGCTGTATCGTCCCATGCAGATGAGGACGAAAGCGTGCAGAGGCAACAAGTTTGTGATGAAGACGTATCCACCCCACGCCGACACCATATATCCGTAGAACAGGGCAGTCAAGGCACCCCAGAATATGGAACCGATCTTGACAGCCTTAATCCACAGGAAGAAGGTGAAGACGAGCAGGAAGATGGCAATGGCCTCATTGTCGTAACTTCCGGCCACGGATCGCGAAATGTAACCGGGTGAGATACCCATGAAGGCGGCCGCAAGCAGACCAGCCGAGGGCGAGGGGACCATTTCCGAGGTCAGGAGATATGTGGCAAGCGCAGTGAGGCCGGAGAAGGCGGGGGCCAGGAGGACACAGATGTTACGAATGTCGATGGGGAGGGCAATGGCGCGGAGGAAGTGGTAGATGACGCCGCTGGTGACCATCAATCCGGGGTAGAGAGTGCCGCCAGTAACTCGACCCAGCGGGTGCCATGTTCCTATGATATTGTGTTAGTCTGGGCTGTCCTGATTTACTAGCAGGGCGGAGAAGAGCGTACGATCATCGAACCAGTCCCAGAAGCTGTAGAAGCCATGCTGAACGAGGTACTTTGTTGCCCTGAAATTGAACCAGGGATCGACTATGTCAATTGGTCAGCCCTGAATCGATACAATTGCCCGAATGGTATGCTAATTGCATCACTACTGACATTCGTGAATGATGCTCTCAAAGCGAATCACCGAGAACAGACGGCTGCTCACGGCCGCACCTGCAATCAGGCACAGGATAATCACTCGCAGTAAGCCTCGAGTGTTTCGGCCAGTCGCCTGCTTGAGGAACTGCCCGTCGTCTACGGCGGCAGCCATGTTTGCAGGTGAAAGGAGAAAAAAAAGAGAGAGGTCAAGGAGTGGTTTTGGTGGTCGCAATGGGCCGCGTCAACGATGAGAGCTATCGTGAATGAGCACACGTTTCCAACTCCGCGCCTCGGCACTTTGTTTCGCCGACACGCATGTCATCGCCCATCCTATCCTGATAGCTCCGCATGCTCCCCCATTGCCCTTGACTATAGACCACGAGCTACTTTGTCATGTCAATGCACCAGTCCATTTGAAAATTCCATATCGGCATAGTGAATAGAGAAAAAAATCAATTCAAGAAATCTATCCATCGTTTTTAAGGGGGAATAAAGCGCCGCACATCAACATCCGGACCCCTGCCAACACCACTAATAAAGTTCCAACGAATCCACCATAGTAAACTCCTCTGTAATATACTTACAATTCCAACATAGTACATGGTTGCAATCTATGCATGAGGGCTGAAGTGAGTTGCATGGTCCGCCTTGACAAGAGCACTGCTCCACAATTAGCTATCAACAATAAAGTATGGGCGAGGTGTGCTATGGACATACACAATACCTGGTGGTCATAGTGTCCATTCTCCTCTTTTGCTTGCTCCTTGGATCCAGGTCATCAGCATTGTTAGGTGCAGATCGCTTCCTGTTGCCCTCGTTACCAGAACATGGGGGCAATGATTGCGATAAGCCTGCACCAGTCAATGTCGGGGTCCAAGGTCCGTGTTCTAGTGGGGGAGGGGGAGGTGGAAGCGGATTATCGGAATCACCCTCCCCTCCAACAGATGCGAAGTCATTATTCTTTCCCCTCTCTTCATCTTCGTCATCATTTCGCATCCTCTCCTCTAGTAATTCCTTCTTGGTTTTGTTCTGCTCGACACATATCCACTCTTCAATGTTCTTCTTGTTGTCTTGTTCCAAGTGCTCTGCGATGTGATCGAACCGTTCGTCCCATGCTGCATTGAGCTTCGTCTTGAGCACAATGATAGCTTTGCAAAAGCCACACCAAAAGGACCCTTGACAATTCTTCCCAATCTTGCTGCGTGAGTTCAGAATCTCTGTGTCTTTGGGAGAAGAAACGCCATGTGTCTTCAAGTGGACTTCGAATGCCTCCTTTTGAGGCGAATACACTCCACAAATCGCACCGGGAGATAGTTCAAAAGCACATCGAAACACCTCAGGCTGGAAGTGTTGGCTATTTTCGTGGCGTTTCCAATCTGATTTCGCGCCAAAGCGCTTGTGGCACCTTGGATACGTACAACCATAAGGCTTCTCATGTCGTTTCATATGTTTTCGCAGATCACAATCCCGATTGACGGCATACCCGCATCCTGGGCGCGGACAGACTCGCAGGCCTGTTGTATGACTTTTTTCAGCCCTACACGGCGCCGGCTGAGCAATGTCTGTGCTCTGTGTGATAAACTTAAGGATTTGCAAAGCATCACGTCTAGTCAAGACTACTGCATCCGTGTCAGATTGAGTGTCCGAACCTGGCTGTACGTTTTCAGCTAATGTCTCAACTCGATTTGCTGAGCTACTCGCTTGGTGTAGGATGTTCAAGATATGACCAATCTCTACAGAATTGGGAGGGGAAGATACAGCAGCGGGCTTTCTCTGTGCCATTCGTTGTTGCTCGGCCTTTGTCTGAGGTGCATTAGAGAACCCGTAATCCATATCCGACAAAGGAGCCTGGGAAATCGTTTCTCTTGGTGCAATATCCGTGGACACATCGGCAGGAAGGGGTATTTGTGTTTGCTGAGCTAATGACAGCCCCGGTGCTCGGCGTTGGCCACGACGCTGTTCAGGAAAATGTGCAGGTCGAGTTACAAAAGAATTATCTCCTGGAAAATGAAGTGTTTGACGTTCATCCTTGGTAGGACTTAGGCTCAGATCAAGTGACGGCCAGCGCTCATGGTCTCGTTTCATTGAAAAGTCAAGGGGAGATGAATTACCCGTCGTTGGACTGATTGGGAAGGACTTATCCATGCCAGCCAACACCAAGTTGGCGTCCATATGTGCATCTGCGGACTCTTGATTTATCAAAGAGGATCGCTTTTCAGGGTTCCACTTCGATCTACCAATGTTAGCTTGCCAGATCAAACATCTAAACACAGAATATTACCTTTCAATTACATCCGTCTCATCTTCGTCTTGATGCATTCGTTGAACGTGCTGTTTGAAATTGTCCAGACGTGGCCATATTTTTTCTTTATTCTTACAATTTTTGCCTACACACCTGTAAGATCTGTTGTTGAAATCTATTTGGTGAACACTCTTCTTATGTCGATCAAGATCGTTTAATGTGGTAAATCCTTGGGAAGCCCTTTTGCATTTGGGTGTGTCGCACTTGAATGGCTTTTCATGTTTGAGCTGATGCTTCCTGTTTGGAATTCAGCACTATTAGTATTCATGGAGCCGAAATCTACTCACTTGTACTCGGAATTGCATTTGAATGTCTCATCACATGCGGCTTGATCACACTTGATCGGTTTGCTTGATGACTTACGGCTACGTGTGCTGCTAACACGAGATCTTTGATCCGAGGGTACTGTTGACACTGCTGTTGCAATACTAGCCACAGATTCGACATTCATGTTTTCAATTCGGCTGTAGAAATCTAATGGCAAATTTTGACTCGAGCAGTCAGCCTCGTTACCAAGTGTTGATTGGCTTGTTTCGACTGAGAAGTAGCCTTCATCAGAAGCAACAACACCTTTATTATGAAGTCCACTGCGAGGATAGCGCGGCGATTCAACATTAGACTGACGCGATACATAGCGTGCCCGTCTATTTTCAGCGCTTCGGAGATTGAACAAACTCCATGAATCTTCTTGTGTAGTTGGGTTGAATGTAGAGGAGCCATAGTTAGGAGAGAGCAAAGATGAGCCACTCTGTAAACCGAGACCGAGACTGTTGTGTGCTGCAGACAGATCTGACTGATGGTAGCTCATTCGCTCTGCTAGCAGCGTGCCGGGAGTGGTTTTTGTGGTGTGTACCGACGTAGCTGGGCTGTATGCCTGTTCTCTCATGTCTTGCACACTTCGTGGGCGCCGTGACAGATTCCATGGCTCTGTCTGTTCTGCAGTGCTGATGTGAAGCCGAGGTACTGAACCATTGTAGTGATGTTCTATATGGTTGAAAGCAGAGTCGAAGGGCTGCTGATAGTTTCTGCCAGAGTAGTATTGGGACATGTCTGCTACCACGAGTCAGCCTGCTGAATGGTTGCCTGAGGCATCGACGTGTTGTCTTTTTGCTGGCCGCTCCTTGAAGTAAGTGGGACGGTGTTGAACCAGAGGGTGTGAACTTGAAGAACATGCATAAACAACATAGGAGGCCCCGTCAAGCCGGATCGAAAACATACCTCAATCTAGGTGTTCAGCCTGCTGGAGCGGCCTGGGACTTGCCTGGAAGTATGCAGTACGCAAGACTTCGTAAAGGAAAAAAGCACGAGTGTGCGCATTAGTAAATGCAGCACGCCACTCCGCCGCCCCTCAAACTTCTGCACTATCCAACAAGGTGGTGCAAAAGACGTCTTGGTGCCCCAGAGGTCCTCCGTTTCGAACTCCTAATGCACGGACCTGCACTGCCTACTGGTATACCGGTAAGGAGGAAGAAGGAATAGGCAAGCTTGCACACCGGGACGCCGAGTCCCCCTCGTGGCGCCTTGTCAGGAAAGATGCACAGAAATGCCGATTCGACTGGGATTCTAAAATCAATGGACGACGCTGTAGCTCCGTCCCATCACAGCGGTTATCGCAATCGACAAGTCATGGCGGTGCGGTGATGACGGAGATGGTGACGATATGGGCGGCCTCCCACCGGCTCCTCCAAGGCAACCGTTGCCCTCTTTTGCCCTCTTCTGCCTCCTGCAGCTTCACTTAGCGTGAAGTATATGCACCACTCAAGCGTCTGTGCGAATTGCAGATGGAGGACTCACTGCCCGCCGGGGGTGGTGGGGGCTGTGTAAACCTGTCCGTGTTGAGAGAGGTCCTCCAACTGCTCAGCCAATCACTTGGTCACATTCGGACTGGGCGACAGCGCGGATGTTGCATGCCGCTCTGATGCGTGGGACCACACGCATGGGATGGGTAGCCTGGACAGATTAATCGCCATGTTTGAGCACAGGGAACTCTGCCGCTTCGCTGTGCATACGGCCCGTGGTCATGGTGGTGGGCACAGCGCCGTGGCGCGCTGCACAAGTGAGAATGGGATATGAGCCCACTTGGTTGCGGCTCTCTTTCCATATTTGCGCTTCGCAGGTCGCCCGCTACAAACACTCAATTGTCACGAGTTCCAAGGGAAGACGCTCCCATGTAGTGCGGTGAGATCGAACCGTGCAGGTCTAGGAGCCATTGAAGCTTGCTATTGTACCATTATCCTACGCAATGTACATAGCAGCTCGTCTAAACAACTAGGAACAGTAGCTATCTCCACACGTTTAAGACTAATTCATTTAATGAACACAAATTTACCCTCCAGCGCACAAGTGGATATCCTAAAAAATCATTATCAAAAACAAAACCCCAGGAAAATACCCCTCTAAACTGAAATCAGAGTTGCCAAAACACAAACGCCCTTCGAATCTCAACCATAATCTCTATTGCGGATGCGAGTAATCGTAGTTGTGTTGTGTCGTCGGGTACGACATGGCGGGATAAGTGCTGCCCTGCTGGTAATGTATTTCGTTGCCGCTATCGAAACCCATGCCAGTCACCTCAGTCGTTAGCCCCTGAGGGTCTTGCGGGTAGTAAGAAGGAAATGGCGTGGTATTCGTATCAACTGGAGAGTCTGTGTACATAGTCTGTTGTTGCTGGACAGTGCTCACAGGAGTCATACCGTATTGCTGTACTCCGCCCTGCATGTTGCCGTGTTGGTACGATTGATTAGGAATCTGCAGCACGTTGGAGTAACCATTATGGTGCTTTGGGGGAACTTGAAGCCCGGGATAAGTTTGGTTGGAATAGCCTCCAGCATTGTTGCTGACATAATTTGTGTATTCGTTGATGTGATTTGATGGCGGGACCATTTGTGGAGGCGGGTATGTCTGCATCGTAGTAGATGTTGTTTGTGGTTTCATATCGTGAGAATAGAGACTCTGTGGGCCAATGCCAGGCGCATATATCGAACTGGGATTATATCGCAGAGTGTTGTCCATGAGTGAGCGGGCAGAGGCGATAGACAGCTTGCGGCTTTCTGGAAGTTCTACGATGGGACTGATGATACTGTCGGCGTTGAGCTGCTTTTGGTTCACAAGCGGAAGGATAGGCATGCTGATCTGCTCCATATGCTTCGCTAGGTGCACAGTCAACTTTTTCCAGCTATTGCAAATATTGCCACAGAATCGGCATGGCTCATCCTTTGGCTGCTTTACAGTGTCGCGTCGGCAGCTTTCAACAATGGTCCAAATGTCTTCTACCCCAGTGTTAGTAACCATTGTAATGTGGTCTGACACCTGTCTTACCTTGATCATTGGCTGTTAGGGCCTCTTTGTTGCCAGCTCGACCTGTACGTTGTCGTGGCTCGGCAATCTTGTGCTCACGAACGAGATGTTGTACAAAATTGTCTTTACGATAACAGATATGGTTACAGTCAGAAATCTGACATGTCCAGTTCTCAAGCTGACGATGCCGCTCATTCTCGTGGCGAACCCAGTCAGCTTTGCGCTTGAATGACTTTGGCTCCCCACAATTTGGAAAGGTACATGTGAAGGGCTGCACATCTTCATGTACATGTTTAGTCCAATCGGAAGGCTTGTGAAATTTCTTCACCTTAAAACATAGTGGGCATTCAAACTCAGCAGGAAGACGTTTGACTGGAGGAAGAGGTACTCCCGATGGGAATGCAGCAGGGGCAATATTTCCCTCTACCATATGCTCAGCATCATCATCGGAAGAGCCAGGGGCAGTGACCTGGAAACCGATGAACGGAGCATCGGCATCTTTCGCCCCTGTTCGTGGAGGAAGCAATTTTGCCTCCCCACCCAAGTCCGTACAAAAGCCGCCTGATGGGCACTTTTTGCTCTGTACGGCATTCAAGTGCTTCACCTTGAATTCCAGCAATCGTTTGTATCTCCTCATTTGCTCCTGGGTAATACGTTCAACCATAAAGTCATCAAGGCGTGGGTTGAGCTGTCGTGTGTTTGTCCTGAAGCCCTCATACGTTGGGATGATCAAATCGGTGCGAACCGTTAGGTCCATTGTCACTGGATCGTGGTCGTCATCATCGTCATCTCCAGCTGGACTTGGCTGTGCAGAAGGCTTCATAGCCTCTGTATCTGCAAGAGGAGAGGCAAGCATGGGCATTGGAGGGCCTCCGTGCTGTGTCATTAGCTCTGCAAGACCAGGTGACTTGCCAATGTCACTCCTGCTTCTAGTACGTTTGATAACGCTCCTAGGTCCTCCCTTATACCATGGGCCCGCTGGGGCTACAGTCAAGCCCGTAGAACTTAAGGGGCCAGATTCTTTGCTGTGACTGCTAAGATTGGTATCTACTCGTGGTGATTTGGGACGACCCCAACTACTCATACGCTTTGGTTTCTCCATAACAGGTTCCTTTGACTTGTCCGAGGATGCGTCAGACTGTTGCACAGGGATGCTGCTCTTGCGTTTCAGTAGACTGCTTGGCGCACGCTTGGGGAGAATAGTTTCGAGGAAACTGGGCCGGCGTTGGCGTTCTTTACTCCTTTTGGGGTCGGGCTCGATCAATTTTGCGACTCCGGGTGAAGCGCGAAGACTACCAATATCAGATTCACTAAGACGACGTGATCCCACTGTAGCGGCCAGAGAAGCTTGCTCGATATCTTTTGCTCGTAATCGGAACCGCATCATGGCAGCATTTGAAGTAGGTGGCTGATAGCGGCCAGAGCTTGATGGTTGCGGTGCTGCCGAAGGTATATCGACCCATGGTTTTACGATAGCACTGGCATTCAAATCGAGCTCATGAATAGGCGGGAAATATGAGTTCTCGACGTGACTTGTACCGAAATCGATAACGGCAGGAGGAGACTCGGGCTCTAGAGACTCATCATCTTCGTAATCGTAGTCGCCGAAGTCGCTTCGCTCGTCAATGTATACTCCCGGCCCGGGTATACCGGTATCGTCGATACGGTCAAAGCCTGTGTCGACGCCGAGACCAAAGCTGCTAGACAAAGCCTGTCGTTGGATGTCGTTGTGACTCTTCGCCCGACGCCTGCCGGTCATTGGCTTGAGTAGGTTATTTGCGGGTGCCACATCGCCTGCTTCGCTCCCGACCTCGCTCTTGGTGAGCCATTCCTGCACTTCCAGCTTCTTTTCTTCCTTGGATCGCTGTTCAGCAATCTCCTCAATACTGGGGATCCACGCATCCCCCATCTTTAGGCGATCATCAGGACTAAGACCTGTTTGACCAGATCCTCCCGGTGCCAGCCATGACCCATCGTCGTTACGCTCCGGTCTATTGACCATTGGCGGGATATATGTTCGTTCTTGTGTGTCTGACTCGTTCTCTGAGGCATCGTTATGTACGTAGGGGGATAAATGGTTCCCGGAATGGCGACTACTGAAGCTCAGTCTGCCGATAGACCGACTACGGTCTGATTGCGAAGGCGATCCTTCTCTGCTGCTGCTATAATTCTCAACGCGTACGATGGGACTTGTCAATTGGCGTGTGAGTGGCTGAATGTTGACCGGTAGCACGTTGCCAGGACTATTTGTCAGTGCTGGACTTTGCATTTGTTTCGTAGGTGTCGTGTGCTGCAGATGGCTCGCATGGTTCGGTGGCGTTGATATGTTTCCATTATACTGCGTCGAAGGTAATGTAGAGCCCTCATCGCCTAATGCGGGACTAGAATTGTTGGTCGCGCTGGGTGATAGTAATTGCTGGCGCGGATCCAGCGAAGTGTAGGAATGAGCCATTGCTGGCTGAGCATTGTACATGTTTAGTGAACCAGTGGTCAGGGTTGACATATCAACGTTTCCTTGGAAAGATGGGAAATTACTAGTTGCACTGCTGTCGGCGAAATTGAGGGCAGAAAACTCATTAAGAATTTGTCCGCTGAAGTTTGGTGTCGGACATGTGCTGAGATCTTGATAGTTGGGGTCACTTGTGTATCCAGGTTCGGAGCTGAACTGTTCTACCGACTGTTCAGGCGAGATGTTTTGGCCATTTGCGTAGTAGGAGCCTGGAGAAAGGTGGTAGTTTTGCGACGGATTGTAGATATTTGGCGGTGGGTATGACATGTCTGCATGTAACGACGAGTCGAGAGAAGAACCAATATTGGGTGTGAGGATGGACTCTTGCCCAGGAGTAGCAGATGAGGCCATGGATGCATCGTATACCATGGATGTGGGTTCCGCAGAGAAGGTAAATGTGCCTTGCGCTTCCGGTATCAGGAAGTTGCTGGTAGTAGGTGCGGGATGATAGCCGCTAGCCTGTACATCCTGGAGGTGGCGTTGCTGGCGGCGAGCGTCTAGGAAAGGCTGTGTATGAGTATCGACCTGCATCGTTCGTCCGACTGCACTGGGCGACCAAAAGGCTGACTCAACAGTAGATTAGATCACAGCAGTCCACAAAGGGTGGCGACGAACAGAGTGGTGCGGAGCGGTAACGTGACACTGTGTGGCTATTCAGGGTGGCATAGTGCTGCCTGGTGTGTTACAAATCCAAGTTATGTGAAAACCACAATGGCAGAAGAGGAGGGGTAAGTGTCGCAACGCCTTCAGACGTGCAAATGGATTGACTGTAGGGTAAATCGAGACAGAAAATTGTCGCGGCGTGACCGATGGCGAAAGAGGCCAGGCGGCTGGGACCTTGATACGGGTTGGCGATCTGCCTTGTACAGGAGGGGATTCTGGAGCCGTTGTGGCTGGAGGCGGTACCGGCACTTCAAGGTGGGACTGGCCTAAGATGGAGAATGAGCAGCTCAGGAGAGAGTGCGAGCAAGTACCAAAAGAACAAGGCAAGTTTCCGAAGAGTCGGTTGGCAGAAACAGGGTGAAATTCGAAGTAGACAGTGGAGCCAGCCGCAGCAACGTGGGAGAGTAAGAAAAGCCGGTCAAGGCTGATTCCCCAAGATGTCCAAAATGGTAAGACTGGGGTAGAGGGGATGCGCGCCAAGCGGGCCTGTGTCCGTGTTTTGGAGGCAATGCGGACGCCGGGTGTCCTGATGGTTGGAAAGCAGTGAGTAACAAGCAGGTTGTGTGAAAACAAGCGCGACGATGTGACGGCAGCTGTGAGCTTGACTGGCGCCTCGAGGCAGATTTGGCGATGCGTGACAGGGTCTTGGCAAGCTTGATGCAAACAGCACAGCCTCAGATGCTATACAGAGGCGGGAGCAGGGGGCCGGCTATGGAGTGAGCGGGTGGCTATGCCTCCGCCTCAAACCACATGGAGAAATTGGTACTGTGTATAGTCCCGGGCGGCCCTGTTGTGTCCTCGGTCAACAAGGACGCCACTCTGGACAGCATTGTATGTTTGGAGCATACGATCAGGTCGACCTTCGTGCTGCCCACCTACCCGCCCGCATACGCTGGCGCTTAGCGGGTCTGCAGCCGCTACGGGTGCTATATAAAGGCATGCCTGGCTTAGCATTGGGCCTCATGCGCAATGGGTGCCATGGCAGCAGACGCTTCTCGTGGCACGTTGACGGCCTTGAGCCGCTGTCTTGTCTTGCCGATTCGTGCACATGTCCATGTTGCGATGCGCGATGCGATGACATTGCATCGGCGCCATCAGCCACGCACGGGCATGAAGCCTCTCTAGCTACATCGCGAGCGGGTGAGGTATTACATAGTTCGTCGCTGAGCCCCAGTTTCGTCGATCAAATGGCGAATAGCGGCTGATGGTGGGGCCCGTCGGGAGTATGGCAAGACGGCTGACCCATGGGGCTGTTTATCTCGAGTACTTAGTACTATGCACTGCTGTGGTTCCAGCCAGGTGGTTTCGAGCATGTCAGCTTTCAGGCTGTAAACTTTGGTGCGTGTCATGAAAGCGGAAGCCACATTGTGAGAAGCCTTGAAACACGCTGCTGGTGAGATGGAATGCAATTCCAGGCAGTGCAGATGCCGAGTTGCCGGCCTGCCATTGGTGGAATTCTGTATCAGGCCGGCACACTTTTGCTCGCCAATTCACGCCCACGTATAAATAGAGTGGAGAGGTCGGAGAGAGGAAAGCGTGCTACAGTAGAGTAGAGTCCAAGGTATAGATACGGTATCGTAGCATGGTACTTCAGTCTGCTGAAGGATGCAAGGTACCCGCAGCCTTCCTAAGTTTGGCCTTTTCACAGAAGAAGCTGACGTCATCGTAAATGTCAATGTGGTGGTGGTGGTGATGGCAGTTATGGTGTTGATATATTTGAGGCTGTTTATCTTGTACTGTGTTTGTCTGTGCAGAGTGTGCATGCAAGTATGTCTGGTTCGGTTCAGCACAACCAGAGCGCAGGATTGGCATCGAAAGCAGCTCGGGCCGCATCTCTTGTGTTAGCTAATGTGGAGCGGGTGATTCTATTCAAGACGGTTGTGCTTGCAATCGAGCAGTGTAATCTGGTGCTCTGTCGATGGTTTACCAGACTTATGGGGGCAGGCCAAGCTAGCCATTTCTGCAGCAAGTCGCACCTTCCATATCGCCGTGCGGGCAGGCGCAACCGGCCCTTCTGCTTCCAACAGAGACGGCTATCCACCTTCGGCGGAACGGAGGCTAACAGCAATGCATCCACTTTGTCTACTTACCCAACCCAGATTGCCGTCAAAATGCCACGACCAGTGCCTCCGACTGCTGCTGCTCGTCCCTCTTCTTCCTTTGTCATCCCTGCGACCCATCTGCGACAGTCCAGTACTCGCCACTCGCACCGTTCCCCGCTTCAGCGAGCTTCTTTTGTATGCAAGCGGCTGCACTTGCATGTGACAGCATCACCAGACTAGCCCGGCACCACAAGCAGAGCGCAACAAACTCTCCACAACATTGTGAGCTGTCACAGCACCGACCACGACCGTATTCTGTCATTTCGGACCCGAAAGCACTGCATCTAGCCTGACAAGAAAAAGAACAGAGAGTCTCAGACGTCCCTAGCACCTCTTTCTCGCAACACATGAAGTTTTAAGTACCGTATTCTGGTCTACTGCACAGTTCAACACCACGTGCGATACATCAATCAAGAGCACACCGTTGCTTCTCTGTACAGTAAACGTCAAGCGTTACAATTACTTAACCTACTCACACTCCAATCATGCCTGGAATCAGCGAAATCATCCCGCAGCCCGATTCGAGAGAGCTCCTCCCACCGCTACTCGCCTGTCTAGCAACAGCAAAGGCATCCAAAGACGTGCCTCCAGGCCTTCTTCCTCTTCTCTCGCCCATACTTCGCCAGCGTGTTCAGCTTCTATCCTCTAGCGAGTGGCTTCCGTTGCTGTCTTGGGACCAAGAAGCGGCATCTCGGCTCCCAGAAGCCATTGAGAAAATCGACGTCGAGCCGCATCCCTCTTCGGGCGAAATCGAGGTTGAGGAGCCAGACGAGATTTTGTATCGAAGATCAGACGCGGAGACACTACATGCAAAACTGGTGCTGGGCGAATATGGAATCATACCTACCTACCTTTGGTGCACAGGCGGTGAAGGAGGAAGTCGCTGGCTGCTGGCGGAGCTGAGAGGGCTAGCAGACGCTGAGGACGGCACCGAATGGTTCAAGGACGTCACCGATGCAAACGAAGCCGGCTTCAGACGAAAGTCGGGCACCGTGAAGACCAACGGTATCAAAATTCATCAAGCAGCCCTTGAGCCAGAAGTGGCCGTAGAGGAAGACGAGGATGATGGTTCATACTGGGCTGCATATGACCAGACCCCTGGGAGAACACCACAGCCTAGGCGTTCTCCCGCCCCGACAAGCAACAGCCAAACACAAGTTGGGCCCACGCAATCAGAGCTCGAGTATTTCGCGCGTTACGCTTCCGAAGTCCAACCAGCGCTTGACGCACATGACCCTGACGAAGAAAGCCCAGCTGCAGGAGAGTCTACACTGAATGGCAACGCTCTCAGCTACGCCCATGGACCCGAAACTGAAGCTCTCAACACATCCAACCTCGGTCCCAATGGCTACGACTCGTCCATTGCATCAACACACACAAACGGGCACACGAATGGTGATGGTATCAATGGTAACGACAGCGCCCTACATCACATGTCGGTCGACCAGGACCGAGAGATAGCGACCAATGCACTAAACCACCCCCGACCGTCTTCTTCAGCGTCTTCCAATTCGATTGAGAGGCTTGAACAAAAAGCAGAAAGCTCTAGTCAAGCAGAGCTTGCCATCAAACAGCACATTAGTACAGACATCAAGAGCCTGTTCCGGTTGGCGAGAGCTTCGGGTATTGATAGGGAAGAGTTTGAGAGAATTATACAACGAGAACTCGAGGTGTTGCCTATGCTGGAGCAGGAGTAGTTGTAGATGGGGGCGTAGGAAAATAAGATTGGATTGGATACTTGAGGAAAGGCTAAAAGTTCCCATGTTATGAGCATTCGGAGGTATTTTGTATGTGTACACATATCTTATGGCATTTCAACCTAACGAAAGTGGTATCGGTTGTGCTTGGATTTTTATTCTATCATCATCGATCAAATTTGAATTTTTGGAAAAGCCCAAAGGGTCACAGCCCATGCTCATAATTGAATTTTACTATAAAAAAAGTGTCCGTCTCTGATGCCTTGCACATCTCAACTCCGCGCTCTCCGAAACATGATGCGCGCCTACCTCCGTCTCTGGGCCTCGCCGCTCGCAAATTTAGCCCCACTAGCCTTGAGCTGCTGCAAAATGTCAACAGCATTGGAGCTGTTTAGGTTCAATGTTGTGTCCATGCTCGCGCTTCCCCTGCCAATCTCCTCAACCACGTTATTCGGGTCCGCAGCGCCGATGACCGGAATCTCCGACGCGAGCCACTGCTGGAAAGGCTTTGCAACAAAGTATCCATCTTCTGTGAACCAGCGCGTCATGGGGGCGCGAATATGCAGCGTCTGTTGAGGATTCGAAGCGTATGGGGCGGGCGTGAAGACGACATCGCATTCATAAATGGGAATGTGTTTCTTTGTCCAAGACGATATTCGTAGCTTTGCACCATGAGTCGGTCTCTTCCTATTATTCTTTGGGAGGTGTCGAACACGTACCTTGCCTGTCTTGCCCTCGCCCTCGTACACGAGGCCCTTTTCTACAAACCAGAGCCAGTAGGTGAAGATGCTGTTGAGCACGAAGTAAGCGACTACTGCGGGGAGAGTAAAGGGCTTGCTGGCTTCCCAGCCGAACTTCCAGTCGTAGTAGAAGAGGGCGCCGGCGATGGTCACGGCTGTGTAGCCGAGGACTAATCGTATGTCGGTGCTCGTGTGGATTTGCTTGAACTTGAGGCTGTTGAGGTAATTGGGGAGGGCATCGTCTGTTGTGCTCTTGAGATCTATACACAGTATATGTCAGTGTTTCGCGTCTATATACACACACATATACATGCGTGGATTGAAGGTCCTTGATCATTGAGTATCCCGCGCAACGTACCTGGCAGCGAGTGCACTGCGATTTTCTGAGTTGCCGACATGTTTGTTTCCTCAAAGTTGATGTGCACAAACTAGGCTAGAGAGATACCAGGAACAGACAGCTCAGAATAGCAGGGCCCGACGCTCGTTTGTTTCGCGAAGGAGGAATTGGTGATGAGCGGTGCTCGTGGTGGATGGGACACCTTTCCACAAGGGCAAAGCGCGCGGACCCTGGTCGTCCCGCCGGAGCCTCAGCGGCGGCGGAGTAGCTCTCGACTCTCGACCTTCGTTTCTGGGCCGAACGACAACCATCGACTTTGAACATCGCCCCTCCACCCTCCCTCCAACGTCCGCCCATCACGCGCAATTCGTCTGTTCCCGCCAACCATGGGGCAGCCCGTAGTCCAGACGATCCATAGGGATCCTGCCCTGTTGTACGTTCCTTATGGTCTTTGCTGGATGATGCATTGATGCGACGAAAGACGGCTGCTAATATTTCTACTATAGTTGGTGGATTCTACTCCCCATCACAGTCGTCATGGTACAGATCCATTTTCAACAATTTTCCATGATGCACCCTAGTCTGACGCCCATCTCAAGGTCCTTACCGGTATCCTCCGCCACTACGCCATGACACTGCTGCAGTCCACGCCCAAGAAACAAGACCTTCCCAAGATCCGCCAGCAGCGCTCGCTCGTCCGCGGCGTCAACCTGCGCACAAACGCGCACGTCATCTCGCCTGCCTCATTTGCGGCGCGCAAGGCATACATGGTGCAGGCGTTCCAGGAGGGAAAGTTCCTCGCGGAGCCCGAGATGAGGGGGAAGCCCAGACCGAATCCCATGAGTGATCCTGCGGCTATGGAGGGCATGATGGGCATGATGAAGGGCCAAATGACGATGATGATTCCGCAGACGCTGATCATGGGCTGGATCAATGCCTTTTTTTCGGGCTTCGTTATTAGTAAGTATTGGTTTCCGTTGCTGAAATGCCGGGTTGTGGAGAGATGAATGGCTTCTCGTATTCCAGAGCTTGCATCCCTGGGCCCTTGGATCTAGGGTGTTTTCAGCTGGCACCTCGGGTCGTTTGCTCTAGAATGTTCTAAACTGGGCCGACTCCCGCTGTGCTCAGCTCCTGTATACATGGGAAAGCGAGTAGTTGTTGATTTCGCGCCCCCGAGTCATGGGTTTGCATCGAATTGCTGCATCTCCCGTGTTGGAAAAGCAATTTGGATACATGCTAACCCGCGCTACTCCACAGTGAAATTACCTTTCCCGTTGACGCCACAATTCAAGTCGATGCTCCAGTCTGGAGTAGGTACTCGTGACCTCGACGTTAGATGGGTGTCGAGTTTGTCCTGGTACTTCTTGACATTGTTCGGCCTGCAACCCGTCTATAACTTTATCCTGGGAAGCAACAATGGTACGTGTTCAGTAGACATTCGCCTGCTTACTAGTTCAAGCTGACAGTGGGCCTTCAGCTGCCAACCAGGTTTCACAACAGATGGCCATGGCGAATCCAGGCGCGGGTGGTATGATGGGTCCCGAGCAAGACCCTGACAAGCTCTTCCTCAATGAAGCCGAGAACCTGGAGGTGCTGGAGCACCGATGGATATTGGAGGGAATCGAAGACCGACTGGTTGCCAAACTTGGAGCGTGATGTCGCTACACTGTGCTAGATACTAGTAGCTGTCGCTCAGCCCTGTAGTCAAATAGCATCTTTAAGTATCGAGGACTGGCCCAGCAAAATGATTTTATCCAGCGTCAATCATGCCTTTTTAGATTCCTGGCGGAAGAGGACTGGTTCCATGAGTGCCCTACATAATGTTCCAGTCGTACAGCTTTGGGGACAGTGGTGCCGTAGCTTGCGGACTAACATGGACGCCTACGAGACCAAGTGCCAGGCAAAGGCATTTTGTGCGAGGGCTAATCACAACAGCTTGAAACTTTCTCGACTTATGCACTGCGTCGCCCGATAATCTCCTGACAAATAGTAGAAACTACTGATTGACGATAACCATGTCCAGCTTGTCCACATGCCGACGCAGGGGTAACAGGAGGTCCTCCAGACGCATTGTCCTCGACCTGAGAGGCGCATTGTCCTGCAAGCGAGTCCTCCAGAGCCCATGTTGCCTGGCCGCCACTCGTCGGTCACCATCACAGCATGCCATGCTCCGCCCATAATTGCGCCTTCGCCAGCGCACCACATACTGCCTAGTTTGTAAGGCAACTCGATCAAGTCGTACGGGATACACAAATGTTGAGACAGCCTAGGCGTACTCTTGTTACCTTCACCATACGGTATACACGACCAGCGTCACAGATGTATCCATCCCAAATAAGCCACGGGAAACGCTGTCCGGCAGACCATGCTCTATTCTATCTCGATGCCCAAATCGAGTCGTCTTGGGCGAGACGCGCCCCTCGTTCTGGTGAGCCATCCTGCAGTGAGCTCCAATCAAAGATGCTACCCCTCCACCCTCTAACCCTCCACACTCCATCCACAATGACAGTGGCGCTTCCTCTTTGCTTCCCATCCGCCATCGCTTGTGCGATATGGTCCTCGGAACAATCGCTTCCTTGGTGCCGGTCACCCGGGCTAGCAGCACAGCAGCGACTGGCCACGAACCCTTATGCGCGGCCTCCCAACTGAGATGTCGGCACTGTCATGTTGGTGGTTCGTTCTCCTAATGCGCGTCGTCCGTCCGTTTACTTGTTCGTTTTTTGGCCCCCAACGGTCAAACTGGTGGGCCTACGGGTTGACATCTTGAACGTGCGCATGGCCCGTACCCTCTTTCCGACACTTTCTGCAAGCTATGCTGTCCGCGGGACAGCTCATTGACTCGGGTTGGCTTGGTCGTATCGCCATACGGCAGCGATCGACCCAGACTAGGGAGATTGCTTTTTCATTTGCAGCTCTACCCTGGGGCTTACACTCTATGCGCCCGTGACGGCAGACGGCAGGAGCCAGAGCCCTGTAAAATAGGTGGTGGCTGACAGCTGTGCTTGTTTTGACAGGGGGCCCGGTCCACCGGTGAAGCTGAAGCGCGCAAGATGAACACACGCCAAGGCAACTCTACTTTTATTGGTGGCTGTGGTGCGGCTCTGCGAGGACTCTCTGGCATAAAACACTGTGGACCATGAGAGCCTGAGGATGGAGGTACACCATAGTACCGGAATTCGAGGGCAGTGCAACCCGATAGCAAACTACTCTGGTTTGCTGCCTGGGATCTCCACTACATTCCTGATTCTTGCTCCGCCTCTTTTGGTTTTGATATCTTTCATCTGGTCCCCTTATATTCTTGGGGTTTGACGTGCAGACTGTGTCATCACAGAGAAAGTGATACCTTAAACTAGGGCATCTCTGGATACGGTTAGAGTAAGTAGCAATGTCGACCGATATTAGATATGTTTATACTAATTTTGTCACTCAGTCCAAATATTCCAACCCTTATATTCGGCTTTTGTCTCAATATTCGCTATGGACACCCATCAATTTGGAGACTTGTCGCAAATACAAGCCATGGAAGAGTCTCGCTTTCCTACCTGGAACACAAACCACGACAGCTACATGTATCCATACAAGCAGCACGCAGTAAACTATCCCTTGGAAGAAAACATCTGTTTCGATGAGTTCGACGAAGGCAGCATCAGGGTTCCACCCATGCAACGCTTCATGGACGACATGTACCCCTTCAGCCATGGTATTTTACAGGCAAACATGCCCCTATACAACCAGTACGCAGCACATCTAGAGCACCAATGGCACCTATCGGACAGTCTTCGACATCCCTCTCCTGACTGTACGTCATCTGGCAACACCAGTCAGAATACCCAAGACGAGCTGCGGTCTCCGTACATGTACCATGCTACTCCATACACTGGTCCGATGGAATACCCTCAGGCCTCATTCCCCTGTTCAACGACCAAACAGTTTCATAACGGCCCTTACCAGCTCGACGTTCCGATGTTTCCAAGTAACTGTACCCTTCGTCAACTCGAATATACCCCTGTGGCGGAGGCAGTTGCAGAGGAAGTCGAAGATGGTGATATCAAACAAGAGGCTATCACTAGCCACGAGCAAGGAACTGTCAAGACAGAAGAGACAACAGAGTACACGACTTATGCAGACTCGGCAATCGGACTCTCCACACGAGACGCTCAATCAGTCGAACCAGTCGATTTCCCTGCAGAGTCCACTTCGGATTCCGAGTATAGCCCGACGTCTGGTCGATCTAATAAGAGGAAAAGGTCTACAGCGTCGAGCAACAGCTCTAGTCGTACATCGAGACGTCGCGCACATAGTCGCAAGGACTCTCATGCGACAAGTCCTACGGTATCAATCAATTCAAAGAAGAAACAACGGCGGGCCTCGAAGGCCTCTCAGAGCCATATCGATATGAGCACCCATCCTGACTATCGCCGCCCCTTCCCTTGCCCATTCGCTATATTTGGCTGCAAGTCCGACTTTGTCTCCAAGAACGAGTGGAAGAGGCACATCAGTACCCAACATATTAAGCTTGGCTACTGGCGCTGCGATCTCTGCCCGCCATCGGTCGACCCAGATGATGACGCTCTATACCACAACGACTTCAACCGCAAAGACCTCTTCACCCAGCATCTCCGCCGCATGCACGCCGCCCCCAAAGACAAGTCCCCCCAGTCCACCAAGGAGTACCCCGTCACCGAAGCCAATCTCCCCGAGCACCAGAACCGCTGCAACCGCTGGCTCCGAGACCCGCCACAGCATTCAAGCTGCCTCTTTTGCAACTGCGAATTCGAAGGTGCGAATTCCTGGGATGAGCGAATCGAGCATATCGGACGCCATCTTGAGAAGGACTATGCAAATAGGGCTGATATGCTTGACTGCGCTACCTGGTACAAGGATACGAGGCTTGAGTGTTATTTGCTCAATGAGGGTCTCATCGCACGAAATGGTAGTGGTTGGAGGATTGGTGATGGTAATCCCTGCAGGGTTGCTGTTGTGGGAAGCGATGCGGAGTCTGAGGAGGAGTGAAGGGAATAAGCCATGGAATTTTCGTTTTGTTCGTATTGCAGCTCATTGCGAGCAACCTTGTTAGTTTTTTTGCGGATTCTGTTTGGAAAGACATGATGCTGGTGCACGGTTATTATAGTTGGATACCCCCTTCCCCGTTTGTGGGCGTTATTTACATACGATTCTGTTTTTTTTTCAAATTTGATAGCATATCTTCATCGTCAGAACATGTGATTCTTCTTCTATAGAGTTTTGGGTATCTTGACGTACAGTTTTAAACAGCAATGTGCTACTTACCCAGATACCAGCTCGCAGCATACAACTCATCCTGCGAAGCCCATGCAACAAAGTCCTCAGTACCAACGCACCCTCGACCAAAACTCGTAATCGCATACCCAGCTATCTCCCTACCCACGTACACCCCACACACCCCCGCTATCCGCCCCCATCCTTCTTTCTTCCTTCGTTCACCGAGCACCCCTCCCCCCTCCCTTCGTACTAAACCACCGTGGCTGAGCAAGACATCGGCCCCGCATATACGAGTCCTAACCTGCACACTTGCACATACTATCGATGTAGAGTTTAGGGTGTTTCCTGTGCAAAGTATGCAGTCCTTCGTTGCTGCGCCTCTGTGCGCCCCACTCTTTGTCCTTTGGGGTTGGAGTTTGTGTGTGCTTGGGGCAGGGGCAGGGGGAGGTGGGGTGTGAGTGAGTGTATGGTATATGTTTGTGTGGTGTGTGTGTGTGTGTGTGTGTGTGTGTGTGTGTGTGTGTGTGTGTGTGTGACTAAAGCAAGGAAAGGGGAGTGGGATTGGAGGTGATAATTTGTGAAAACTCGAAGTATTGATGAAGCTGTAAAAGTCTCCCACTCTACTAGGGCCGTCTGAGAATTTGCTGAATGAGATCCTGATTTCCGCCATGAATATCACCAAGAGTTATCAAAAGTAAATGTAGGAGTAAATCTTGAATCATCAATTCGTAAAAATGGCTACAGAGCGGTTACAAGCAGTGAAGCAGAATTCTATTGCATCACAGCTCATCCTTATATTCCTCCTCGCTTCCCTCATAAACATCTTCTTCATCTTCCTGCTGAGCATCTTTCTTTCGTTCCTTCTCTCTCCCCATGCCCGCAGTCTCCTCGTCCCCATCCTTGCTTGAATCTTTCTTTTTCTTCTTCTTTTTCTCGCCCACGTCATCCTCAGTATCAATAATACCTCTCAATTCCCTACCTTGGCGCGTAGTCGCAAGGACCAACTTCCATCCCTTCTTCCCCGCCTTCTTCTTCAGGGTGTTCTTGAACGTCTCTACGTCTTTGAGGTTGCCAATGTCGTGTTTCTTCATCTCTTCTTTGGTCATTTGCTTTCCGTCGCTACTAGCTACAACAATGAAAGATTCCTTGCCACCACCGACAACTAGCGACTTCTCGATGACTTTTCCTTCGCTGCCGACTAGCTTCTTTGCGCCGACTTCGATACCACCAATAATAGGTCCGCGCTTTGTCGAGCCTTCGAGGCCAGTTGTGATGTCACGGAGAGGGTTCGTATTGGCGTCATCAGCAGCTTTTTGGGCGGCTATGAGCCGCTCGGTTGCAGCCAATTTGGTGGATTCTTGCACAGCGGTCCATGACTCCACTTCTGACTCTGCTATGACGGGCTCGCAGAGGATGGGGTGAGCAAGTTTCTCCTGTGGTGGTGTGAATGCAACATCGTGGCAAAGACGAGGTGTGTCGACGATCATCAGGTACGAGCATGTGCTCGTTTCCTTGACCATGGAAATGCGGTCAGCGGACTGCGGATTGCAGTGGAACTAGATGTTGTATCAGTATGGCGGGACACAATGCAATTGCGTCGTAGTACACACCTGAACATCGATTTTGCGTGGTTTGCCCGTCAAATCGCACTCGGTGCCGTCGGATAATCGTTGAACCATGTACCTGCTCGAGCCTTTTGTCTCTAGCCTGGGCAGCTCCAAGCCCTTTGTTTCGACATCCCCCTCGTCTTCATCATCCTCATCGTCAAAGGCCTCCTTACTGCCTTGCTCGTTTCCTAGCGTCTTGCGTGCATTCGCTTTCTTGCTCTTCTCTTCTGTAGGAAATCTTCCAAGCACAAAACTGTGTACGCTTTCGTCCTCTACTGGCGGGTATATGGGAACTCCGCGACCCGGTGGAAGTTGATGGAATTGCTTGACCTCGCCCTTGTAGCAAAATCTATAGCTCCACCAACCGCTCAGATAATATATGCAATTGTCTCGCATACCCTCAAGTAGCTCCCATCCACGGTCCGTTGCGCGTACAAGCTCCTTCTCTTCCTCTGCTTTGGCATCCTCCGCAGAGGTTGTGTCGTTCTGGGCGACTTCTTCGGGTATTATAGGTATGCTGCACAAGTATCGTTGTCCGTGTAATACGACTGCTTCGTAGGTATGTTCCAGCGCATCGCCTATGGGTGTTGTGTCCGCAGTTGTCTTATCGCGCTTGGAGAGTTCTTGTGTTTCCTGTGATCCCGGTGTCACCGAGCTCGAGCTGGGTGATCCGCTTGCAAGGAGAGATGTCGCTTTATTCTCTGTGATAAACGTGTCCGGCCATAAAACTTCATACTGGGGGCGTGTTAGCGTGTAGTTCTACGATGTTGGTCATAGTGCGTCATGCCTGGGGAAAGGCGAGCAAGTCATCAAAGACACTGAACGCATGTTGACTCGCGAGCGCGATGCGCAACACGGCCGGAAGCGCCCATATACCTCTCATTTTGTGGTTGCCGGGAGCGCCGAGGGGCATCAAGTCAATTGAGGGCACACTACGTGGAGCTGGTTGCGGACTTCTTGTAGTCTGGTTGGAGCCAGATGTCACTTCCGTCAAGCTATGCCGCATCGGGTAAGACCCATGAGAGAAGGGCAGTTCGCACATGTTTCGATTATGCTTCCATTGTTTCCCCCACATCTATGCATGGATTGTGACAACATCACTCTGCATTGTTGAAAAATACAAATGGCAAATGTCTCCAGAGAATTGTCTTTAGCAGCTTTCACTTGAGAAATTCGAGTGGGTGAGGCTTCTCCATTGACTTGTCCTACTAATGGGATAGTGAATTTGGACCACCACATCGATGGTAGAATACACTAGTATTCGCACTTGAAAGCACCATATCTGCTTCTATTAGCATGCCTAGCAAGGCGAGAGTTGGTCTGTTATTTATTGGTTGATGGTATGCCTGATATGACGCGGGGTAGTAACAGTACATGTACACAGAGCCCACCGTTCAGCTGACCCCTCGAACACCATGCCAAACTATACGCCCTGTCCCACAGTAGATCTCGTACCATCATAGTTCGATTTGGACAGACAAGCATGTTCCTCTCACCTGCCCCTGCATTAAGAGTGCCAACCAAACCGAAATATCCTGGTGATCCGCTTCGAGCAGGCGAAATCAGGGTCTTGTGGCTGCAGCCTGGCAAATGGACTGACCCCATTGTTTGCGAACTCTCCAACGCCGAGATCGAATTCGTGCGATACCGAGCACTATCCTATGTATGGGGCTCACAGCTTCACCAGCGCTCCGTCCGACTTAATGGTCGTAGCTATCCCGTAACCTTGAATTTGGAGAGTGCGTTGAGACACCTACGAGCAAAGTACAACAGAGGATTAGTCCTTTGGGTTGATGCGTTGTGAGTACCGTTGACCCTCATATGTCTACAGTTCAGGTCTAACCCTGTCGTGCCTTTTCTCCAGACGCATTGACCAGGTGAATGGCGAAGAAAGGACTCATCAGGTTCAGCTCATGGGGCGCATTTATGCGAGTTGCCAAGAATGTCTCGTATACCTGGGACAGAGCCTCGATAGCACTGTTGGAGCATTGACTGAGCCAACATCTGTTCTAGACTTTGGGAAATATCGCACGCATGTCCATGCTCAAACCACCTTGAAGCCAAGCCACAAGCCAGGACTATACGACGTGTTTGAGTTCTTCTATAAGTTGAGCGAGTCCAATCACTTGCATGAAATCTTGCCCGCTCATGGTGGGCAGGAAGAAGCAGGCACGAATTCCGAGGATCACAAGAGCTACAAGAACAGTATGCATTTTTTCGAGACACTGCGAATGTTCATGCATGCCCCATTTACGCCCTGGTGGTCCAGAATATGGGTAATACAAGAGGTGGCACTTCCTCCCCAAGTTGTCATCCTCTACGGTACAATTTCTGCGCCATGGACCATGTTCGCTAAGGCCGCAAAGGAGTACCAAATCCACAGTAGTTCGTGCTGCCGTGAGTTTCTCCAAAACTTGCCTCGAGATGAAGAAGCTGTCGTGCACAACAGTTTCGAGACCATGTCAAAGGTAGAAGATCTCCGACAGCGTTACCATACGCATCAGTCAGAAACTGCTTACTTGGGCCTGTTGGAATTGCTAAGGCTATTCCGAGACAAGAAGGCATCTGACCCCAAAGACAAGGTGTTTGCTCTCCTTAGCATGGCGGAATTTGTGCCTGGTAGAGAACCCTTGACACCAGATTACTCGCTGAGCGAAAAAGAAGTCTATCGCCAAGCAACGCTGGAGTCAATATACTCGACCAGGTCGCTTTCAGTGTTTAGTACGGAACTGGGAAGAAAGTTCAGAAGTGACTTGCCATCATGGGTTCCAGATTGGGGTGCGCCAGGAAGTCATACATATCACTTGCGAGCAAAAGCGATAAAATACTACAACGCATGCGGAAGAGAAGCTACACCGGATTCAATAATACCGATAGGAAACTTCAAAAGTAACCTTGGAGACCCACCATCTCTGCCATTGAAGGAAAAACTTGAAGAATTAAGACGCCACAGAAATATGTACATGAAGGACAAACTTAGCTTACAAGGCCTGAGGATTATGCGAGTGGAGGAGGTGGGCGAGATCATGTGGGGGGACGACCCTGCTAGCAGCCGGCACACGCTCTTACAATGGTTTCATACGTGGCTGCGACACGCGAAACCATTCGGGGAGGCATGGCATCGTGTGTTGCTGCGAGACATGAAATCCTTCTCGGAGGACACGTTTCCGGTGTATACTGAGAGTTTGCAGCCATCGCAGAGAGTTCCCCTGTTCAAGTTCTGGAGAACCATCTGCGCCGATGTAATCCACGAACACATAACAACGGGGAGTATACGGAGAGTACTGGCCGAAGACATGTCCACTTTTGAAACATGGATGAGATACTCGAGCATGTCACCTTTCAGCAGTGCAGAAAACAGAAAGCAAGCTGGGGTTTGGTCTAGCAAAGCGGAGTTGTGGAGTCTTTTCCTCTTCGTATGGCCGACAGCACCGGACAAGGGCATGTCAGATGCACCAGACACTGCGTATGTTCCCATGCACTTGGAGGATCGCCAACTTGTGTACAACCTACTGCTTGACTTAATGCAAGCCTCCGGACTGAAGATCTTAGTCATTAAGTGGAGCGCTGGGGATGATTGCGCGTGGAAAACGATTTATCTAAGATTGGTCTTCGAACTCACACGCTCTTACGGAACTAGTATAGGCTTGTATACGGACAGAGAAAAGAGCCAGATTCCTAGTGTAGAGCGGTCGGTAAGCATAGCGACATTGTCGCGACGGCTGATCTGTGGTGATGGGCTGATCGGGCTGGGCCCAGCGGACATGGCTGTTGGAGACGAACTGTTTCTTCTGCCTGGAGGAAAGACGCCATTTGTCTTGCGTCCGTTGGGCGACAAGTGTTGGGGTGGTAAGTCGCGTTGCTTTAAGTACGAGATCATAGGTGACTGTTACTTGAATGGGTGGATGGATGGAGGCGCAAAGGTCAGCTCACGAGAATGGGTCGACATTGTGATTGTGTGAATTCTTTTCAAGTGGTTGAGCCGAGAAGATTTGTGGATATCAGCAGGCCTTCGTGCTTAGTATACATATGACCTGAAATGTCATCAAGGAGAGGATTGTATAGTGAGCAGCTACCATGACACCAACTTCGAGTTTTCTAGAATAGGTGTAATTTTAGTCAAATATATACAAATCCATCCTAAGAAATCGATTAAAACTAGTGCCAAGTCGTGCAGCCTACGCGCTACAGAGCTAGAAGCTGGTAAAGTAGCTAATTCGAACACGTTTCACTCACGAAAACAAAAAGACACAGACCACCTAGCTGCTTACTAAGAAAGAGCTTAGTAAGAAGCTTACTAAGAATGCCGCTAGAAAGCGACACTATACGAGTTAATACTCAAGAAAATAGACAGGAAAGCCTAGGTCTAGAGGCTCAAATCGACAGAGAAATGGACGTAGAGTCCCCACCAGCCACGCCCACCCAACCAGCCAGCCAAGCTAGCTTATTTGAGCTGCCAATACTACCACCAAACAAACGGCAAGCCAACTTCTCACCAGAAATATCCCAGCCAGCCCGAAACCTATTCCCAAGCCAAAGCAATCAAAAGCCAACAGCTAAGAACGCGCAACAAGCAATTTAGTGGGCTAGAGACCTTATACTCCAGGCCTCTATAATGGCAGATTCCTACGTAGCTCAAAATAAGCTACTAGAGCTACTCGACGTCTTTAGAGACTATACTGAA